TGGTACCTCGGGTTACATACGCTTCAGGTTACGGACTCTGCTAACCCAGAAATATTACCTCAGGTTAAGAACTTTGCTTCAGGATGAGAACAGAAATCGCACAGCGGTGGCGCTGTGACAGCAGGAGGCCCCATTAGCTAAAGTGGTGCTTCAGGTTAAGAACAGTTTCAGGTTAAGAATGGACCTCCGGAACGAATTAAGTACTTAACCTGAGGTACCACTGTATAGGGAAGGTTTGTTTAAATGTTTAATACTTTATTGTATTTTTATATGTATTGGAAGCTGCCCAGAGCGGCTGGAGCAACCCAGTAAGATGTGTGGGGTATAAGTAGTAAAATTATCTTTATGGAATGGGACGTCCCTATTTTCATCAGAGAAATGTTGGAGGGTATGGAAACTGGTGCGCATTGTGAGATCTGTGAGAAACCCTGTTCTGACCTTGGAAGTAGAAGTTGCAGCAGCTAAGGGAGAATGATGGCACCAAGCACAGCAAAATATGTAAGGCTGCAGTCGTCTCCCCACTTTACCTGGGAGTAAACCCCCACTGAATTCCATAGAACACTTATGAGTAGGCATGGTTAGGACTGCATTGTAGGGACACAGCGAAGGAAGCACACTCCAAAGATAAGCTGAGCCTGCTGCCTCCAAAGGCACTCCTCTACTTCCCCACGTTTTTTTATTTAGCTTTTTCATTGCTCCCCCCCACTCCTTTAGTAGGGCTTTAGTGGGCATTCTTGTTGTTGCAAGCAATAGGGAAAGAAGCAAATTGTTGAGGATGGATGCGCAGCCAGATACGCCAAACTCCCATTGATTTAAATGGGGCATAAACATGCTTGAATGTTTGCCGGATTGATCAGACTGTCTTCAAGCCGTGGCCCAGCCTAAAGACGGCAAATTGAAGCAGGCCTCTTGTTTCATAAGCGTTTCCAAACTCTCCTGCCAAGTGGGCCTTGATTTTTGTGTGGAGAAGTGATTACCTTTTAAACACAAACACTAAGATGCAGGGGAAATGCTGGCTGAATCTTTTCTTATTATGGGACCCTAATTGGAACAACATATTTACTCAGCCTGTTTGAGGTCCACTCAAACCTCCACGCTAAAAGTATAGCTTGAGTGCGTGGGGGACAGTATATGCTTTTACAACAAGATGAGACAAATTGCCACAATCTTCCTTAATGTGATCTCATACCAGATGAGCTGAACAATGCGCAAGGGGAGAGGCAATGGCAAACTTGACTCTTTTCTGCCAAATAAAAGTGAGGTGGAAATGGAGGTCGGTGATTTTCTTGGTGATAGCGTTCTTCTTGTCAGAACAGAAGTGAAAAGGAGTTGGGCAAAACTCACAGCAAATGTACCGGGTAATTTTGTTAAGTATATGTTATTCACTGCAGCTTATAATATACAAAAAAATAGAAGAAAGGGAGGGGGCACCTTGTCTGGCTCTCAGTGGCTTGAAAGAATTGACAAATACCACACAAGCAAAACACAAACTTTTGAAAGTTATCCCTTTGCTTCCATTTTATAAAAGTTTCTTCATGATCTACGAAGAATACACCACTGCAAGTGTTTGAAAAAGCACAAATGATCCATGCTTCGGATCTTGCACCTCTGGAATGTTCACCCTCTGTATGATCAAAATAGGGTGTTCTCAGTGGTGGCACCTGAATGTAAGAACTAGCTCCTCAGAGAGACTTCCCAGTAGGCTGGTGATTTATTCATGAGCAAAAATAAGAAAAATAAAAAGAAAGAAAGAAAGAAAAGATAGAAATCTGCATAATCTATGTATATGATGAGATGCAGATTTAGAAATAATCGCCATAATTTCAAAAGCAATACCAAACTCAAGACAGAGGCTCCACAAATGAAAAAAATGAAGAGATTAGGTAGGGCCAGACATAATGATTTGCCATATGCTGCTGTATATCCCATGAGTTTCTGCACATTTCCTCCTCCCCTGAACCATTGATGTGCAAACACAATTTATCCATCATTTACACAAACATAAACAGATCAACACCTCTCCCTCCCTCCCTTCCACCCACCCTACTCTGCTACCCCAGGCAGACAGATGGTGCAAGGAGGTGGGGAGGACAACTTCCTTTCATGCTTCTTTGTCTCTTCCTTATAGGTCAACTAGAAGTTGTCTTCCCTCCAGCTCCCAGTGCCCTCCTCTAATCTAATCTAAATCCATCTATATCTAATCTAAATAATAATAAAAATATATCAAAGGTAGGAGCACAGACCACTGTCAAGTCTCTACCCAATGGGGCGGTCTGGGTATGAGGAGACAGGATTCTTGGATGAAGCTGTCTGTACCACTGGAGATATGATTTCTGATATCTAGGCAGGACAAATTCCAAGTCCTCAAACAGCAGACAGAAACCTGTCCCATCTGGAGAAGAATCTGTCTTGGAAGGAAGATCCTTCACTTGAGGAGGCCTTGGACAAAGGATTCAGCTGAGGTCATGGTGGAGTTCTAGCAGCAACAGCTCAAAACAGTTCCAGTCTTTAGAATCTTAATTTGTACATGACCCTGTGCACCATTGGTGGGAAGGCAAAATAGAAACTTTAAAACTATATTGGGATTTCTCTGATGCCAAGTGCCATTTTGCTTCAGAAACCAGGTTCCCCCAATCCAACTGGAAGCCATGGGAGCAGAGAAGCAGGGTGAATCACATTGCACAAGGCTACTACAGGTAGAATTTCCCAGACTGGACCTGGCAGACAGGACTGTGCACATACAATCCTGTAAGCAAGCAGCAACATGGGGGGCGGTGCTGGATTTTGTCTCACCAACTCTACTCCCCCCAACAATGTGTAGATATGGTTGTAGCTCACTTTACAATGCTATACAAGGCAAGTCTACTTAGGTGATCTAGCCAACCACTGCAAAGTTAGTTCTGAAACTGGTCTGTTCACTGTTTTAACCTAAGCATCTCCTTTTATCATTTAGTCACAGAAAATCAGGTGGGATAGGTTACCATTTTAATCAGGTACATCAAGAGGGTACTTTATTTTTTATATCTGTAATCATTACATTACATTCAAATTTCAATTTTCCCCTTTCCTGCTGACTTCCCTCAACTTCCATCCCTGGTTTATTACATCTCATATTACATTCTGCTATTTGTATATCCTTATGTGTTGTCATACTATTATGTTTCTTGTTTTTTATAAATAAAATTGCATATGTTTATTTAAATCCTGCCAATGACTCTATGGTTTTTTTTGTTTGTTTCTGCAAATATGATGTAAAAGGTTCCCATTCTTTTTCAAAGTCACTATTGTATTTTTCATGGAGTTTATCTGTTAACTTTGCCAACTCTGCATAGTTCATCAACTTCTCTTGCCATTGTTCCTTTGATGGTATTTCTCAAGTCTTCCAGTTCTGTGCTATCAGTATTTTCATCAAGAGGGTACTTTAAAGCTCAATAGTTGCTCTTCTCTTCTTCATTTTTAACATTTTCACTGTCTGAGTCAAATTTAGACTGTAATGCCCTTAGGGCAAGCACCTGTCATTACATTTGTGCATTAACTGCAACCATCTTCTGTTACATGAATTATCCCCACAAAAAGCAAAAGTCTTGTTCTCCAAGTGCTCAGTTGTTGTAAACCCAGTTTCAAACTATTGTAGCAGTGGGGAATATACGATGGGAGGGAGAAATAGTAGTGATTAGAGTCTGACTTGCTGCTAATGAGGAAGCTGTACCTAAAAAGCCAGAGGTGGAACAAAATATGCCTGTCCCACAAGGAAATTCCAACCACCATCATGACTCTCTCTGCCTTCTTCCTCCCTAGATTCTAGGGCTCATAGTTGCCATTTTGATTGGGCAGGCAGCTGCCTTCTTGGTGAGCACTGCTTATGCTTACCACAAAACCTCATAAAAAACCTTTTTATGTGGTATTTACTTTAATAACTGAATTGGCCTTGGTTACCCTAGTGGGTGACCTTTATCGAGAGGAGGACAGCAGAAATGTGACCCTGTTATTCCTACTTGATCTCCCAGGAGCTTTTGAAACTATTGATCATGGTATCCTCATAAACCATCTCTGTGTGGTGGGCTTTGTAGGCGCTGTTTTGCAGTGGTTCTAATCCTATCTCCAGGGTTAGTTTCAGAGAACAGCACCAGGTGGGTTGCATTTTGCTGCCCTCTTGTTCCCAGTGCTATTGAATATCTATATGAAGCTGCTGGGGGTGGTCAGGAGGAAGTCTGGGGCAAGGTACATACAGTATGGTGATGTTACCTAGCTCTACTTCTATGTAACATCTTAATCAGTAAGTGGTGCACAAGTCCTGGACTGCTGCCTTGACTTGATGATGGGCTGGATGAGGGCCAACAAATACTTTGTCTCCTTTGACAGACCGTGTACGTTTGCCATATACTGATTATTGGCCCCAACTAACCCAGCACTATCTAAACTTCCATCTGTTCCCAAGACCAGATACTGCCTCTGACAGTGGAGGGAAAACATAGCTATCATGACTAATAGCTGCTTTGGCCTCCATGAATTTGTTTAGTCTTCTTTTGAAGCCATCCAAGTTGGTGGTGATCATTGCCTCCTGTGGGAGCAGGTTCCATAGTTTAACTCTTCATGGCTAAAGCTTTGAATTTCACCAGAAAGCTAATAATACTGAGTAGTGAGTTTACATGCTGCAAATTCTCTGGACCATTATACAATAGACACCATGAACACTACTGTTGGGAAATATTGCTCAAGGTTTGCAGTGGCAGATTGAAACATGCTTATTCCAATAAATGCTACACTGTGAAAGCTAGAGGTGGATGATAGTCCCCCAGACTAATTTTGGATTAGGATTCAAAATGATGAACAAAAGCAGTGAACACTCGGAAAATAATACCCTTGCACAGGCACACCGAGAGTTCTTAATTTGCTCAGAATTACTACTCCTGCCCCATGAATACCCAGTTCCCCTTTCCTGGGAGTTGATCTGCTGCTGGTTACTGGTGTGGCTGCATCCTCCTCTGCTGTTGTTGTAAATCTCTGGATAGCTCAGTTGGTTAGAGCCTAGTGCTGATAACACCAAGGTTGTGGGTTTGATCCCCGTATGGGACAGCTGCATATTCCTCCATTGCAAGGGGTTGGACTAGATCATCCTCAGAGTCCCTTCCAGCTTTACAATTCTATTATTCTTTCCCCACTTCTTCTTTCTCTTTCCACCCTCCACCTCAAAAATTCTGCAAAATGTGGCTTAACGATGTGCTGCATGAAGAAGGCTTTCCTTTATTTAATTATTTCCAACCACACATAATTCTGGAAATTTATCTGAATACAATGTGCCTACCTCCTTTGTATGGCACCTGTATGGCCTTGCATGACAAGGAGAAACTGAGCTGGGTATCATCTGCCTACAAGTGACACTGCACTTCAACCCCAACACACCATGATAATTCCCATGGCTTCATACCCATGGGGTACAAGATGTGGCCCTGATGAACCCCATGGCATAATTTCACTTTGGCCAAATAGCACTTCCTCCCTGCCTAGCCTCCCTGCAGGTAGGAGGAGCAGAACCACCATTTCACAGATACCTTGCTCTCAACTTCCAACCTGTCGAGTGATTCTGGGAGGATACCACACAGGTCATCAACCAGAACGGCCAAGATCATTTCAGTGCCAAATCTGGGCTAAAGCCAGAAGGAAATGGGTCTAGAATAATCCACTTCTTTCAAGCATACTGGAAACTGGACAGCCACTATGTCTCTGAGCACCTTGCCCAAGGAGAGATATTTGTGGCTGGGTGGTAGTTGTCACATACCCCTGGGTCCAGGGAAAGCTGCACTGTCACCTCTTTCAGGACAGCAAGAACCTGCCTCCTTCCCTTCAAGCATCTTGTCTACACCATTGGGCCACATCAAATGGACAGCACTGAATCAACAACTTGATTCAATGGCACTCCCTGGATGCCTCCTTCCAAACTGCGCTAATTGTTGTGTCAAATTCAGTATGAATACAAGCAACTTTGCCCTCCAAGTTCTTGGAAATTTGTCACAGCAAAGCCTCTGAGGGCTCCAAAATCTCTACCATTCACCTCTCAGAACAGCTCTGCTGAACAGTTATTGAAGAATATAATGGAGAATGGAAGTGAGATGCTGATCTGAGAGAAGAGATTGCAACTGACAGTCCGAGCAAAGCTGGTAAAAACATTCCAAGTCACTGCTGCCACCTCTGACTCAGGTCTTCAGCCTGCATGTATACTCTTTTAGGCTCTGAATGGTCCCAGATCTGGGCCTCAACAGCTGAAGCCAAGCTTTGAGGAAAACGTGTCTTCCATCTCTCTCACCTCCCTGCTCTAGGACCCTGGGAAAAGACTCATTTCTTAAGGGTGAGCTATGCTGATCTTAAATTGGACATCTATATTATTTCCTGAAAACCTGCATATCCTTTCTGAGGGGCATAAATTTCTGTTTTACGACTATGACAATGCAAAGCAATTTTAAATGCCCGGAGGAAAGAACAAGAAATGACGAATGGAAAGCAATTGAATGATTCATTAGACTCAGAGTATGATTGGATGAGGAATTCTATAATTTTGGAATTCAATTTAATTTAGTTGACCTTCCTTTAATTATCTTTCTCTTTGCTTTCATGTAGCTTTGCGTAAAATATAGTTTCTGAGGACCACATGCAGTAAGAAATATAGTATTATAGTGGGAAGAATACGTCTGGCAATACAACCGTCTGGGGGTGACCATTCTACAGAATCAAGCAGGTTGAATAATTTTATTGAAGGCTTAGCTCACATATCTGTTACTGTCTCTAAAATGTATATTCTCTAGCTAGAAAATTGGATCTTTGTTACACATTCATATGAAATGAGAGTTTGTTTCAGTTACATTTCTAGAGAGGTTTTTTTGGGGAGAAGGGCTAATACATCAATATAAAAAGGTCTTGCATATTTGCAACTGATTGAGCTATTTACACTATTCATATTCACAGATTGGATCCCAGAATCTAAACCCAGCACTGACAATCATACCTGTGATGATGCAACTTCATATGAAAAACATGCTTGCCCTATATTCACTAATGTTTGGGGCAAAACAATATGTAATTTAAATGCACTTCTTCAAGAAAGAAAGTATGCTAGATGCTCAAAGGACAACAATCATGGCTCTTCTGTCGATTTCCATTGCATATCCTGGACTGGGTCCTACTGTACTTTTTTCTAGAAATTTCGGAGTGGAGTGAATTGCAGTTTTGCTATGTGAATTTACTACTACATGGCATTTTCTCACATGAAAATATCACTTCATGGATCAAATATCCCTTTAAAAATACGTACGTCAAAATAAGCCTTCTAAGCAGATAACATCTCTTCCCAATTGGTTCCAAAAAGGGAACTGCAGCAATGGTTTTGTTAGTTTAGAAGCTTAATGTTTGCCTCTAGATGACAGTTCTAATGTTGGATTTAAATGGGGGGGGGATACTGAGCACAACCAAAGGGTGGGAAAGGATACCCCCTTGATTTCAGAAAATGCTTAAGCCTTCCCCATAAAAATCAATGTGCAGCACAATCCTGAAAATGGTTAGTAAGTGCCACCAATTTGAACTACACTCTAATCTTTTGCCTTGTTTGCCTTTACAAAAACTGTGAGGCAGATCACTGTCAGTTGCAGGTGGAAATAATGAGGTTGATAAGGGAAGGCTGAACTGGCGTTTTAACTCACGATCAGCCATTAAAACTCACCACTCCCTAATCCACATTGTATCTTGTTCAATCATGACTTGTTCTATTGTTTTTTGAGCCATGCAAAAGCTTTACAAAATGTATGAGCAAGTAGAAGAAGGAAGCTGTGGGAGAAGCAGGACTCTGAATGACATTTGCTGCGTCAAGTGAGAATTCTAATTATTATTAATTTTTATTTAAATCCTGTTAAACCTATACGAATAAGCATGTCACACCCAGTCACATTTTACCAAACAATTTGTTTTTTTTCTCATCTCCCTTAACATTTTAATTACATTAATTACTGGGAGGAGGGAGCAAGGAGAGGGGGCTGGAGGAGCATCTGCACTTTCTAAAGATTAATCTATAAAAACCAGCAACTCTTCTTCCTCTTCTTATGGTCCCTTGACATTCTGGGCTCACGTACAACCCCTCCTGCAGGAGCTCAGGCTCGCAAGTGTCATTATGCTCATTGTCCTTCTGGAAAAAGCTCATTTCAGAGAACACAGTTCACCATAATAGCTTTGGTTTTAAACAGAGAGATCTCCTGTGATACACATTGACTCTGAAATAAAAATAACAATAATTTCACAACCGTTCCCAATAAGGCAAGGACAATATTTAGAGAGCAACCATGCTGTGAGCATACAGTGCATCTAAAGGAAAATAAACGAAATGAATAAAGAGAACCTGAAATAACCTCACTGGTAGAAGATTTGCTTTTTTGTTATCATCCTATGGCACATTCATGTGAGAAATCTCACCATCAGCCTCTGACGTGCTTTCAACTAACTCCTGTTACTTATACATTTTACTTTAATTTTGTATACATATGAGGACAGCTGTATTATTGTTTATGGCATCTTTCCTAGCCTGAAGAATACTTCCTGCCATATGATGACTATGCTGAAAATATATCTTTTGCAAAATGAAACCTGAATTGATTACAATTATTTGTACCCATTCTTCTCCTTATAAATGTCTTCTGGCTGTTGTTTAGAGTAACTTTAACCTTTTCACTGACTAAAACTGGATTAAGCGGTGTAGGCTTTGCTTACAAATAACTTTCCCTCCAGGTCAATTTAGCTTAATTTGAAAAAAGGTTCCATTCCATAATACTCTTAAATTAATTATATCAACAGCTGTAGTTAATGCCATTTAAACAACAGTTAAAGCACTGCTGTCCCTTTTACTGCTATTCCTGGGATCATGTTAGGCTTCCTTCTCTTTTTACATCCAACAACATGATCTCATAACAGGATGAGTGGATTTCGAAATGGAGCATTTAAACAATGAAAGGAGAGAGAGGGGGGAGTCAGGGAATATTAACGAGAAGAGAGACTCATCCATGGCTAAGGGGGGAATGAAGAAGATGTTGCTTTAAGAGGCATTTCCACAACTGCTTCTCTATCACGGGGTAAAATCTTTAGATAAGGCTTCCCGCCCCTCCCCAAGCACTGATACAAGATGTTATCAAACCCAGCTGTATGCTATTTAGTCTCAAGGGCTGACTTAAAAGAAATGGCACCAGCCAGAAAACAGCAACACCACGGCATGCGCACAAACTGGGAAAGTAGTAAGGGAAGTAGAGGGAGATATTTGGCTTAGATACATCACTAGAATCAAAGCTTTGCTTTCACAGTAAACAGATTTTCATTTGGAGTGGTTGGTCACTGTTGAGTGTGTGTGTGTGTGTGTGTGTGTGTGTGTGTGTGTGTATGTATGTGTGTGTGCGCGCACAACCACACACACACAATCTCAAGACATGCATTTATATATTTCCCTGTGAAAGGGGGGGCTACGAAAGTGTAGAGGAGAGATAGATAGAAACTAAAATTGAATGCCGGCTGCCAAGATGGAAATGATATTTGTTTTCTATCACACCAGAGAGGCACCATCCCTGCTTTTGTCCTTCAAAGCTGCGAGCGACCACGCTTTAATGCCTGCAGGTTGACCATGCATTGTTATTATCCAGTCTCCATGTTCACATCATGTGTCATCTGACCAAAGGAGAGTCTACAAAGTGAAAGCCTCATGCAAAATTTATGCTTATATGGCTGTTTCAGTCAGTGGAAAAATCAATACTGCAGGCTTGATGCACAGAAATGACTGAGTGCTCTCTGACTGACACTAAAAGCACTGGGAGATTGAGGGGCTGCATTTGCCGTTCCAAGGAATCGAGTGTATTAGAGCTCTCATAATAGTCTGCTCACCTTATATTAGCCTTTCCTTGGGATTATTTTTTGATAACAATTATGATTGTGGGGTTTAAGGCAATTACACTATTACAAAGAAAAAGCTGCTTTTTATGTCCTGTAAAGCTGTCATATATTTCACACCACAACTGCCTTCCAATTATTTTTGCTACAATGCACTTTGGAAGCAA